ACGCCTGTGGGTTGGCAGAGCTTCGCAATACATTAAATGATATTAAAATATAAATCTTCAGCAGGGACTGACGGACTTACTCTTAAAATGTTCTCTAGTATGCCGGAATGTACATTAAACCATCTTTCAGCCTTAATTAATATGTCATTTGAAGATGGTGCTTTTCCAAATTGCCTTAAGTCGGCGATAATTATTCCTTTGCATAAAGGAGGTGATAAAGAGCAAGCTTCCAACTATCGTCCAATTGCACTCCTTCCCACGTTATCGAAGATCATGGAGAGACTGGTTAAAAAGAGGCTTGTATCATTTCTTCTAAAATACAAAATACTCACCCCCTTTCAGTTTGGGTTCTTGAGTAACAAATGTACAAATGACGCTATGTTTTCGCTGTTTAATAATGTATACTCCAGTCTGAACAACCGTCTCGTTACAGCAACAATTTTCTGTGATTTCTCGAAAGCTTTCGATTGTGTTAATCATAACATCCTAACTAACAAATTGCAGTACTATGGTATCAGGGGAACGCCTCTTGAATGGTTTAAGTCCTACCTTAACAACAGAAACCAGCGTGTGAGGGTTGATAAGACTGTGTCTTCTTGCAAGCCAATAGAATGCGGAGTACCTCAGGGCTCAGTGCTAGGTCCTATTTTGTTTCTGTTGTTTATCAACGATATTGCTAGTCTGGACATCAGTGGTAAAATCTGTCTCTTCGCGGATGATACTTGTTTCACATGGAGCAGCCCGGACACCACGGCACTTCATAGAACCATTTCCAGTGACTTAATCAACATAAAAACATGGTGCGATTCTAATTATCTGTGTCTCAACGTCTCTAAAACTAAAGTCTTATCATATAAAAGTACGTTGCTACCTTTTCAACTTGATAATACCACCATTGACGTCGTTGATTCTGTGAAATTTTTAGGCCTTGTTGTGGACAACTATTTAAAGTGGGATTTGCACATCGATGCTTTAGCTAAAAAATTAAGTTCTGCCTGTTTCGCACTTAGATCAGTTGCTAATGTGCTTAATTTGTCAACATCTAGGATGTCTATTATGCTCTTTTTGAGTCGCATCTCCGATACGCACTTCCATTCTGGGGTGCGTGTTGTGCGACTCAATTTGAGCGTATCTTCAAATTACAAAAGAGAGCTGTGCGATATTCACTGAGGCTAACCAGTCGTGCTCACTGCCGGGACTTGTTTAAAAGATATAAAATATTAACTCTTCCTTCCCTATTCATACTCGAATCCGTCTGCCTAGTTCGCAAGCACGTATCGAGTATTTCTCTAGGGCCAGTTCATGGCTATCCAATTAGGAACGCAGAGCATAACATGTATCTGCCAACCCCTCACTCTGAGTTAGTAAAGAGTTCCATATTGTACAATGCAAAAAAAATGCACAATTATCTGCCATCTGAAATTAATTCCATTTCATCCTTTCCTGCATTTCGCAGAGCCTTGAGATCATACTTACTGGAGAAAGCCTTTTACGCGGTTAACGATTTTTTATTAATATCTAGGGTTCTAAATTTAACACACATTCACTAAATTTAAGAAATGATTTTGTTTTCTATCCATTTAAATTTAGTATTGACATTATATACAGTTGTTTATTTACATGTATGTTTATATTTTATTTATATTTAATTAAATAAATTTTTGACAATGTACAATTTCTATAATTGTATAAAGTATTGTTTTAGTTTTGTATGTTTGCTGTTAGTTTTATATGTTTTTCTATTGTTAAGTGAAGTTTTGTATGTTTTTTATATTCTTTTTTTTTAAGCTTTGTCAACAAAATTGTAAAATTTTTTATGACAATAAAGCAATTTCTTTCTTTCTTTAAAATAAAATATAGACTGAGCATCTCATTCATAAATAGCTGGAACATGCGGTCAGACAATGTCTTGTTATTGTTGTGTTATTGTTTTAGGTTATAACGAGTGCGACACGAGCGATAGATATGTTGTCTCTATCGTAACGGTCGTTCCCTGATGACTCTGACCAGAAACACAACACTGTCTTTCGTGTCTCAAGTACACCTGAACTTTCCGTATCATAGCCGGCTAATTTTTTTATTTTAATGAAGCTATAATTAAATTAAAAATATATCGTATTTAAACTTTTTTATATTTTATTAAGATATAGGACAGGTTTTTTTTAAATAATAGTTTAGAAAAAACGTCTTAGAGTCCAAAAAGGATAAAAATAATAAAATACACGTTATAGAAGAAATTTTATAATCGAAATTACGTAATTTTTGAAATTAATAATAAATTATTTATTTTAGTCAAACATTTACAACCCCTAATATTAATCAAAACAGGATCTATTCCACAGATATAATAGAATCGGCGACAGGGAGGGAAAAAAATATGACTGTTGTATTTTTTTTTCTGGTTAAGTGATGTCTTATTATGTAAATTAGGGAAACATAAATCTGTTCCATTAAAGCAAGGAAGGTCATAGGAAGTGGATAAAATGAAAACTACATTTATTTAACTCGGTACTGTCTTTATTATACCGGATGCGTCCCAAAAGTGGCTCATCCCCATAATTTTTTTATATTTTCAAATAAAAAACAAGATTTAGTATGTTAGTATATGACATAAATCTGGATTGATTGACATATTCAATTGTTTTCGGTCACTTCCGGTTTCACCGGAAATGACTATAACTTTTAATTTTTAAACGGGACCCTCGGCATATTTCTACTTTATTCCATAGAAAATGACACTCTGAATAGAATGACATATCATATGTCAACTTTTGACATTTTCGCATATGGTTTAATTGTAATTGTAACACGCGGTTCATAACGACAATTTGACTCGAAATACAAAGTGTGTGGTATCTATATATTCATAAAAAATGCTTTTTCCAAATATGCTAATGAGTCACCCTTGTTCCATTTGAAAAAATTGACATATGTATGATTAAAAATACGATTTGTACATCTTTTAACCGGCCTAGACAAGACACGAAACCCATTAGACGATCAAAACTATTTTTTCAAGGCTTCTTGATTAAAACTTAGTACGCAGAAAGAAAAAAAATCATGGGAGTTTGGGAAGGCTCGAAAGGAAACAATGGTTTTGCTACGTTTTGCGACTTTATTGTCGCTTCTTCAGGCACCAAAACATATTAATCCATATTTTGCCTAAAAACATTCATGGCGATTCCAACCGCCAACACTAAGCCATGTACGGAAGAAAGAACAAAAACTTAACGGGTATTCTTTGCCCGACGTACACCGATGCTCGGTTTGTGTCGCACTCTCTCTGTCTGTCGTACTTCTGTGAGTACGACACAAACCGAGCATCGGTGTCTTTTTTCCGTATGTGGCTTAGTGTTGGCGGTTGGAATCGCCATGAATGTTTTTAGGCAAAATATGGATTAATATGTTTTGGTGCCTGAAGAAGCGACAATAAAGTCGCGAAACGTCACAAAAATATTGTTTCCTTTCGAGCCTTCCCCACACCCACGATTTTTTTTCTTTTTGCGTACTAATTATTACTGGGAACTAACAATAATCATAATTAAAACTTAGTGTTTTTAACAACACCATGGCACCCTGGATTGAAATTTCAAATACGATTTGTTTTTAAGCGACAATGTCAAAAGTTGACAGATGATATGTCATTCTATTCAGAGTGTCGTTTTTTATCGAATAAAGTAGCAATATACCGAGGGTGCCTTTGAAAATCAAAAGATGTAATCATTTCGGTGAAACAGGAAGAGACCAAAAAGAATTGAATACGTCAATAAATCCTAATTTATGTCATATACCTACTAACATACAAATCTGTTTTTTTTTATCTGAAAAAATAAAAAAGTTATAGGGGTGAGCCACTTTTGAGAGGACCCGGTATATTAAAAAATATTGTTTCATAATGTAATATCATTTTAAAATTCTTGTATGTTATTTTAGATTCTGAAGATAATTTTAGAATAAACTGGAATATATTTTTAATAAAAACATTATTAATTATTAACAGGGTTATAATTATGATTTTGTTACAATGTAAGTAAGTAAATAATGTAATGTAAGAGAAAAAATTCAGATTTTACATTTTACTAAAATATTATCTAAATAAGCGTCTTTCTACAACAACGCCACTGACTCCCAATGGGTAAATTGAGAGTTGCCTACCGGTCAAAAGTCGTTTCAAGACTTAAATGGATTAATCCTAATAATGGTCAAATTTCTTGCAAATTTGGCACTGGCGAACCATATTTTATAGTTCCTGAACTGAAAAAGTCAATAAAATAAACACTTAAGGACTACAAGCTAAGAAAATGCGTTAATACAGCCGGGGACATAGCGGCAACAAAGCTTTACCGCACACGTGCGGCGCGTACTACAAGGTAATGAATGAATGAATAGGCTCCCTCGCCTCTAATCGGTGTTGTCATATTGTAAAGAACTTATCCTTTTTAATCAGTATCCGACTTATAATTTAGTAGTATAAAGACTATTTAATACATCTATGGAATATTAAAACCTACTTTATTAAAATGTAGTATTAATATCTCAATATATGTGTATAACAAGAAAAAAATATTGATAATATTAAAGACGTGACAACATAGGCTGGATGAGGAAGGCTCGGTTGACTGTTCCCAGAAGTAAACATGTGTACAAAAAAGATTGTTTGACCGCGTTGAGATGTAAATAATGTAGTCTATATTTTATTTTAAGTCTATACCCTTCTAATGGAACTTACTGTCAGTTGGTCTTAAGAAGATGAATTATTTTTAAATGGTGTAGTTTAAAATTCAAGAAAAATATTTTTTTGGAAATACATTTATGCGTCTGAAAACGTTCTATCCTTTCTTAATCTTTCCATAATTATTTTAGTAAATGACGTCTATAGATCGCGCCGTTTTTTTCTATCGTACGGTATAATTACTAAACAGTGTTAGATAGTTAGTTATAATTATTATAAACAAAAATTAGTGTTTTTTGGTGAAATTGAATTATTACTATTATTTTAGGTAGCTATGTCCCTGGAGTCTCACCTAATGGACAATTAGTTATTCGTGAATCCTCTATCGATGACGGAATTAATGTCGATGCTCCCTATTCAACCTCAACCAGTGGAAGAGCATTTAATACAGACATAAATACAAACCGCAATATAGATGACAATGTACATAATCGTTTTTGGGAATACAAAAACACTGGAACAGGAGCTTAAAACTTAGAAATATTTTTTTTATATAAAATAAAGTATATAATCAACGGTATCTTTGATTTACCTAACAAATTAATAATTAGTTATATTTATTAGTTTTATTATTAACAAAAAGCAACGTTAGAGTTGGGATGCCCTTGTTAAATAAAATTTAAAATTAAATTAAAAATTAAAATTAAAAATATATAAAAAAAACAAATAAAAATTGAGGGCTTTAAAAAGAAAACATAGAGAAAAGTCCCCTTCCCAGAAAAATTCTAGATTCGCCTCTCACCCAGAACTATTTTATTGTTTAAATCTATAAAAATTCAATTTCTATTTTCAAATTCTCTTCTATAGAAAGTTTCTTAACTAAAATTTATCTATTTACCTATTTTTACAAAAATATCTGTAGACTATAAACCAGGTAAGACAAGAGAATACCATTCTCCAAGAGAAAGAGAGACACACTCGCCTTTTCAAAGAATAGAACAATCTTTCACCAGTATTTATAACACATGCAACATGAAAAAAACTTCCTTATTGTGTCCCTACAATAATAATTGAAGGTCTATTGAAACCTGAAACCCTTGGACCGAGAAGTCAGAGAAGTCTTTATCTCGTCATTAATGTTAAATTTATTACCAAGATAACATAAACACAAAGTCGTTGTAATGACATTCTATTGCCTAAAATTGTATTGCGAGAAAACCCAAATTATGGTAATAGCTACGCACGTGTTTTGACTTTTGGACTTCCTTCAACTTCGTTGAAAAGTGCATTATCATATAATTTTGGTTTTCTGGTAGTAGAATATACGAAAAAAAAATCTGATCAAATTTATTTGAAATTAGATTAATCGAGTCTTATTAATCAAATTAATCTAGTCAAATAATAATAATAGTTAGTTTCTAAATACTACACAGGGTGAGTTTCCTACGATGTTCTCTATGGGTATCTCGGAAACTACTGGAGACTGGAGATAGAGAGTCGGTTAAATGGGGAAAGAATTGCAGTTTTGGGGGTCATAAATATTCGCCTTTCGGATTTTTCGGAGAAGTTCAAGGCTTACTAGATATTTCGAAAAAAACAAATTTGTCATATATGTCAAAAATGACAGGCTTTAGAAAAAAAAAACAGAAAACAAACTTACTAGATATTTCGAAAAAAACAAATTTTGGCTATTTTAAAACTTTTGTCTCTAATTCCATTATAATCTACCGTAGGATCGAATAAAAACGGCGTCAACGATGTCTATGAAATGAAGATCGCTGTCATTTTATATGTAAAATTATATGGGAAATATCATCGATCGTCATTTCATAGCCATCGCTGACGCCGTTTTTATTCGATCATACGGTATTTTAGACAAAAAGTTTTCACATAAAAGTTGTAGATAATCACATACCTAATGAGTTTGTTTTCTGTTTTTTTTTCTAAAGCCTGTCATTTTTGACATATATGACACAAACGTTTGCTTTATTAAAATTAAAAGCTGTTATTGAAATTTAAAATGTACTCTTCATTTTCACAAAATGTAAAATATGTCAAAATCCTTACATTTTAGGCACATGCTCCTTTCATAAAACTCGCCTTTACTTTTTCCCTAGAATCCAAAAATCAATTAATGTAGAGGGTGTTCTATTACAAAAAACGCATTTCTGTAACACTTTGCTGTGTAACTTTTTTGGGGAACACTCTGTATAATTCTATATACTGTTATAAAATGCTTTCAATTAACCTACATATGCTCCCAAAATTTCGTTTTGATATAAGCTATTGTTCTCCTTGTAGCCTCCGCGTCGTATGAGAGGCACCACACTGTATATTTATATCACGGCATATAAATCACACGGCAGGCTAAAGGTTGTCGCCCACTAGACCGCGGCGCGACGCGGCGCGGCGCCAAGTGGAAATTTCTTTTGTCTGCTTGCCATGTATTTAAATGGACCAACGCACATTAGAGCGCGCAGCGCAGAAGCGCGCCCCGGAATTTCCGTCAAGAAGTCGGAAGACTTCTCTAGCAACTTTTTTCCGTCTCCCGCGTTTCGACGCGTTGCAGTGTGCGTACTCACAAGGCAGATAATTTTGCATTCGAGTCTTTTCAGTTGGCTTTTTGACTAGGAACTAGTGATATGTATCAATGGCAGAATTGTATTTTTAAAGGTAAATTAGGCAAATCGATTTTCATAAAGGAATATGATATTTTTTTTTAGTCTTCCCTCACTAGACAGATGGACGAAATGCCTTTCTATCAAAGATTTAATATAATTGAGGGGTGTAGAGGCAAAACTGGCAATCTCCACTTTTTAACAAAAGTGACAATCTCCAATTTTTAAATTCTAATTACCTAAATATATAAAAAAGATCAGGGTTTTTTTGACCAGATAACTAATATACACATCAGAATAAATAAGAATTATCAAAAATATTAGTTATTTGTCTCTTCTGAAAAAATATGAAGAGTAGATATACCCGGTGTTTTTTCTTCTAAAACCCTCAATTGAGGAGTCCGTAAAATGTTTCCTTTATATTTTGTAATACTGAAAAAAATGATTTTGTCTTTTATTAAATCTGGAAAAAGATGGTAAAATTCTCCAAACTTCTTTCTTTTTTTGTTAATCGTATGAGTCCAAACTTTTCCTCACCCCCTCTTCCTCTTCCTCTGTTAGAAGAGCACAAAAAATACGCTTTCGTCCGTACTTGAACTCATTGCTTTAAAAACTAAACTACAGTAAGTAAAAAACACTTCGACTATAACTAAATAGCGTTGCCGCGTTTCAAAAGCGCGCTATAGTGGGCGCAGTCCCTTCGCAGCCGGAAAAAATTCTCTTCCCAGCGCCGCGCCGCGCAGCGGTCTAGTGGGCAACAACCTTAACTCGCTTTGGCGGGAACGCTACGCGCATATCCTCGCGCACGCCGCCATTTGCGTTTCCATCAACAGAAAGTAACCAGTGTCGTAGTTTTTTCAGCGACAACACACAGTTACGGCAGATTCGAGTCAGTAGCGTGCGGCTTAATTTATTTTGATTTTTTCTTGAGTGATATATTTTGTTTTTGTTGTTTTATTTTTGTTTATTATGTGATATATTTGGTTTTTCTAGTTTTATTTTCGTTTCTTATGTAATATAGTTGCCAATAGGTGCCCGGTGGCGTAGAGGTACAGGCTCTCGTCTACCAATCTCAAGGTAGTGGGTTCGAATCCCACACCCGGCATTTCATCAGCCGACAATTTTTATTAAAATAAAAATAGTTTGGGTACCTATGTCGACTCAGCCTTAAATGAGTACTTGGGATTCACAATCCTGAGGTAATAATAGGCGGTTGAAGCGTAGTGCTAGCCACATTACCTTCCTTTGTATACCGAACGGCTTTAGTATGGCAAGCTGTACCTTGCTACTCCCAAGGCGTCAAACGCTATATACGGGAGCTATTGTTATTATTATGTAATATAATTTGTTTTAGTAGTTTTATTTTTGTTGTTCAATAAAAGTTTCTTTCTGTTTCCTTGAGATCCTATTAGGTATGTATATATGTGATTAATTATTTTAACATATTTTAGTTGTGAAAAAAACAGTAGTATACATATTAGGACATTCAGCTAAATAGGAAGATCTAATTAAAAATCTTAACAAACTTTAATATTAGTAAGATTTAATGTTAAATATTTAGTAAAATAAAATTTAATGTTGTATCTAGAATCTAGACATTAAAAATTAAATTTAAAAATCATTATATTATTCATTTAAATATAATTATAAAAATAAATAAAATGATTATATCGAAAATAAGTTAACAATACATTTTTAGGGCAAGAACATGGGCAATTGCAGCTAATAGAGAAGACTTGATTGAAGATATAAATAAGGGCCACAAGTACAGGTTGTGTTCTGTTCACTTTGAATTTAAAATGTTTACCAATTCACTTTGTAACCGTATAAAATACAATGCGGTACCTACTGTTTCCTGCCATGAAAAAAATAGAAGTTTCTCAAAAAAAATTGTAGATTTATTAATTTGTGAAATTTGAATATTAATAAAATTTGCTACGCCCATTGATAGGCATAATTTGTACGTAGCCTCTTTATATTGTTCAATAAATATTTTATTGGTATTTCTTTATTCTTTATTTATTTATTTTTTTATTTTTTATTTTCTATTTTTTTTATTGATGAAATATTTAATTGATTTTTTCATTTTTACTTTTCGAGAAGTATGCGCGGTTAACGATTCATTTGTTTGGACAAAAGTATTGTAGATAAAATTCAGTTTCAGTCAATTACAGTATTTTTTTAATACGACCCTATCGTATTTTTTTTGAGAAATTTTTTGATACGTTTTAATCCGGCCCTGACTAGGAAACGATAATGGCGCCGACAAGATCAAATTTTATAGAAATTTTAAACAATGAAATCTGAGTAGAGTTGGCGTGCCGATTGTTTTATGTGCCGTGTTTATATGTTTTAATCGAGGGGTAAATAGCTGACCTGAAATTCTGTACACTAAACCTCCTAATAGCTAAAGAATTCTTAAATACCTCCTAGGAATTCCTAAATACCTCCTGGGAAATCCCATATGTATTTTTTGGGAATTCCTGATACTATTGAGCATACGAAATTTGTAATTAGTTTCAAATTTTACAAAAAGTTGAAAAAAGTATCCAAAATCGACTCGATAAAAAAGAGTTTGGTTTGGTTTGCTCATTAGTTTTGTCGTTCCCTATTCTTAAATCATCTCTTCCTCTTGATTTTCAAAAATACTTTCTTCGGCTATTTACGAATCATCAATGACAGATTCATTTTCATCACTTACTGCAGATTGTTCTTCTGAATTTTTTGGTATATTGGTCGAGTTCCATGAAAAAATTTCAACTTGCATTCCCAGCTTTTCATTTACAGCAAGTGCTTCCTGCAAAGAGTCCATCACAATATTCTCAATTTATTGATCAGTAAATACATTTTCAATATCTTTCACCTCATTATTTGCACTCTGCGCTTCAATTTGTGCATCGTTTTGGCCCTTAGAACGAACTCTTTGAAATCTTTTCTGCTCTCTTGGGAAACGTATTATAGT